TGATCTTCTTCATACCCTTCACATTCCCAACATTCTCCTATCTAAGACTAGCAATGATAGATAAATACTCTTCTTTCTCAGCCTCCAGCTGAGTAATGACAAACTTTTGTGTCAATACTTTCTGACACCGTTTTTCATCCTTCAGTCACAACTCCGAATACCCAGCAGCTAGTTCACTAATAGGGAGTTCTCTAACATATGATTCTTTATCTAATTTACATGATTCTTTATCAGATCCACAAATTCCAGTCAAGGCAGTCACTTGCTTGGCTGAATCTTCCTCATGATCACTTTCAGATTCTCCATCATACCATGACACATATAAATTCTTTCCTTACTTTTTGAGATAGGTGGCACATTCAACTCTTATGTATCCATATCCCTCACATACATGACACTTAACACCTTTCCCTTAGTTTGGCTTTTCTTCAAATCTTAACTTTCTTCCCATGTATTGGTTTTTGTTGATGTCGTATGACATGTTCTTAACACCCAACCTGGATCTCCTCAGCACCTTACTAAATTGTTTTCCCAACAGTACAAGATTCTCATATATTCCTTCCGAGTTCATGTTTCCTCTATCTAGTGAGTCTTATGCACTAGAAGAAAAAGCTACACTCTTATTCTTTTTAGATCTTTCATTGATAGCAGATTCAAAAGTCTTAAGTGAACTTACAAGTTCATCTACTGTCATAGTGCTTAAAATATTTTCTCCTAGGTCTTCTAAGTCATTAGCAATATCTAGAACAGTCATGTGAAAGTCATGGATACTTTCATCCTCATTCATCTTCAATTTCTCAAATTTGGAGGAGAGAAGCTGAAGCTTTACCAGTTTAACCTTAGGATTTCCTTTATGCACTTTCTTCAGGGTCTCCCATGTAACTTTTGCATGCTTACAATTCTTTATCAGCTCGAAATTTTTTTTATCAACTCCATTGAATATGGCGTTCAATGCTTTGGAGTTTCCTTGTGATAATGCTTAATCATTATCATCCCAGTCTTCTTAAGGTTTCAGCACATCAGTGGCCTTCCTTGCTACATCCACTACCTTCGGTGGATCCCAACCTTTGACAATATTTCTCCAAGCCTTGTCATCCAAGGACTTTATAAAGGTTTCTATACGAGGTTTCCAACTGTCATAGTTGGTACCATCTATAATCGGTATTTTAACCACAGTTCTACCGCCCTTGTCCATTACACCAAGAAGTAACTTCCCTGAGTCTCACCCAGAGTCAGAACAGGATATCTGCTCTAATACCAATTGAAATTCTGGCTATCAAATCCCGAATGTCCTAAGAGATGTCGAGACACCGGATCCGACTTCACACATAACAACAAGATGTATAAACAGAAATAACAGTGCTGAAAGTAAATAACACATGATATGTTTACCCAGTTCGGAACAACCTTCATACTCCGGGGCTACCAAGCCAGGGATGAAATTAACTAAATAATATCAATTTGCAGACCTTACAAAAAATCTCTAATTTACAGCCTGCTCACTTAATCACTACCCTTTGCTTAACTTCTATCAAAGAAACATCTAGGTATGAGGCCCCCCTCAAACCCCTCTTCAATTACACTCAGCAATTGGAGAAAACACTAAACAAAGTAGAAAACACTAAACAAAGTAGAAAACAAAAAAAACCGGAAGCTATACTTCTAAAACATGCAAAACTCAATGCTTAAAAGCTTATGAGAATTCACACACAATATGTTCAATTCTTAAAAGCTTATGAACATCTAACAGGAAACTTACAACCCAACAATAAATATTATAAAAACCCTAACACAAATACATCTGTAAGTTCCACCTAATACTAGGTATACACCAGTCTATTTATAACTTTATTATTTGTTAGGTTGGGCTTCAAAACCGCATCAGTGAGGCTGCATAAAGTCTGTAAAAAGTCCTCCAAGAAAATAGGTCTTTAATCATTTGTTTCATAATAAATCTCCATATTTAGAAACTAATCAAATCTTCGAAAACCAATCAAAGAATATTCTGAATTATCAATCTTGGACGCCACATAAGCTAACTGAATATTCCCTGAATATACAATGGCTAAAAATTAGCTGATTCACAACTGTCAGCTTGCTGCAGACACGATGTCCTAACTCCTTTTTGGGTCATCTTACTCGACATGTTGAAACAAAATGTTGGAATATCTTGTTCAACATATTGTTGCTACAATGGTTTTACCAAAATATAAGCCAACCATAATTTCAGAGAAAGGACAAGAATATCCGTGTGCTTCTCAAAAAAGCGTTTGCTTCCAGTTCAGAGTTAAGATGTGTTATCTAGAAAAGGATTTTGTGTGCTTCTCAAATAAGCTTTTGCTTTCAGCTCAGAAATCAAGACGTGCTTCTTAGATAAGATATATCTTCTAGCTCAGAAATTAAGATTTGTTAGTTAGATAAGCTTTTGCTCCAAGTCTGAAGACAAGGTTATGGTTCTGAAGATTATGATACTCCTGAAGAACTCATCTAAACATGATCTCTTCTGCACTCTTCATTACTTCGGATTAGAAGTATTTCATCATAAGATAAGATCAAGAAATTTGCCAGAAAAATAGTATAATAGTACAATACCAATTCCACTATGGTGAAGAACATAATTGTACAACCATGGAATTTGTCTCCCACGATCTCATTCTTCCGTTAAGGAAGCTGTCACTGAAAGTGACGTTTTGTCCTTCTCAACGGTCTACTTTTTGGACATATATGAAGGGATCACTCTTCATTGCAAAAACGAAGCAATCAACGAAGTTGAGACACAATTAAAAAGAGAAGTCACTGTGCAAAAATATTCAAGTGAGAAAATATTCATCTAAGAGAGAATTAAAAACACAAAGAGTTGTTGCTCATTTTTGTGTTAACTTTTGTTCTCCATTGTTATAAACACACATAGTTGTTACTCATTTTTTGTGTAAACATTTTTTCTTCATTGTAGTGTTAAATATGCTTTTCTATAAGCACTATCGTAAACACTTTCTATTGTAATTCTTTTGAGAATTTTTTTTCCTTAAGTGACTAAGTGATAATCTGTATACTTGAGAGGGCTAAGGTGTTTTTCTAAACTCTTAGACGTTTGTTTGTTTTCAAGATTAGTGGATTAAGTCCTTTTTGAAGGCAAAATCACTTTGGCGGGTGGACAAAAGTAGCCTTATTTAAGGTGAACTTGTATAAGCCGATTGTGTCACTTTTCTTTCTTAGTTTTGTCTATCTTGAATGTTTGTGTGAAGCATTTCTAAAAAAATATTTTTTGAAAAGTCAATTCAAACCCTCATTTTTTTGTGTTTTTCTCAATCTTCAAGTTGTCACTTTTTACTTTGTTCAATCTGATATCTCTAAGAAAATAACGCAAGGGCAGAGAAATGAGAAAACACGAGGTCAAAGAGATAAAGAATGCTAGCTTCGTTAAAGAGATAAGGTGTCCCACCTAGCTAGAGAGTATAATAACAATGAGAAAATTCTCAAAAAAATAAAATGAAGAATGTGTGTAGACTTCACTAATTTAAATACAATCTTCCCAAAATAATCCATACATTTTACCGTACATTGACAATTTTAACGAAATAATTCTAAGTTTTAAAGATGCATAGTTAAAGTATAACCAAATCAATGTAGGACACCTTAGACATTCCTAAAACGACCATTCATACACAACAACAATGGTGTTTGAAAGGAAGCTGACATTCATGTAGAGTGCAATCGACTTTTATGAGATGTTGATGACATATGGATCAAAAGCCATGTCAAAAAGTTTCATGATACTTTTCATATTAAAATATGGAGTATTATACTTAAATATCGACATAATTTTGAGGGAGAGTGTTGTCCACCTTATTGTCGAGAGTGACTTATAATTTCTTGTTGATTTTATTAATGGTAATATGAGTTTAGTGAAACTACTCACAAATAGGTTTTGCGTATCCATAATCTTTTGAATTTGAACGATACTATTCAAGTTAACCATAATTGAAGTGAGGGCAACTAATATTTAATTGACTTGTTAACTTTAGCATTTTCAATAAATTTGATAGATTTCATGTTTTGGAGAATCTCTCAAATGAGCTTCAAAATCTTATGTTTAACGACACCTAGAAAATTGCATGCCTCATAACATCTTTTTAATTTTGTAATTTTCTTTTCTCTTTGGACTTCGTCCTCTTCTGTAAAAAAATATTATTATTGTTGTGTTCGTTTTCACAATTCACCCTCACCTCAAAAGTGATTTTTTATAGATAATTTAATACTTTAAAATTTTTTTTAAAAAAACTCATCTTTTGATATCTCGTAGTTAGACAAAAAAAGAAGATAGAAAAAAAATAAAAAAAAATTAACAATAATTCAAAAAAAGAAAAAGAAAAAGAAAAAAGAAAAAAGAAAAAGGAAAAAGAAGAGGAAGAATCAAGTACTCAAGAAGAAGTATTAAGAAACCTCAACTTAACTCAACTCAACTCAAATAGAAAGCTATGTAGTTTCATCATGCTTCAAGTTTCAACCTTGAAAAAAACTACTAGTACTTAAATCCAAGTTAATTACAATTCTACCCATTCCTTTATTACCACCTACCTTCATTACCCTTTGTTCTACTTCTACATCTATATATCAATCTCCATGATGTCTCCCACTCTCCCAAACAAAATTTCATTCAGAAGCAAAACTTCCATTTTTTATTCCATTAAAAAATAAATCCCCTTTTATTTTTATTCATTCAATAAACTCATTTTCATTGCTCACATATATTTAATCAAACTCATCTTATTAATAACCTTTCTTCTTCGATCTACTTCTTTCTACATCTTTCTACTTTCTCAGTTTCAGAGCTTTTCTCGTTACCCCAAACTACACTACACTTATTTTTTCTCTCTTGAACCCTAATTTATTCGCATCGTGCTATTTTTATTTTCAACACACTTGTGGTTGATGCTAATGAAGAAGAACTGGTAAAAAAAATAGAAAGAGAATCAATTTTTGGTGGAAAGAAACCAAAAATGCGCGTCAAGGAAATGCACCCGTTGTGCTGCATCTCATTGGAGAGTCCCGGGATCGGAAGTGATTCTCCGGACACAGACGCGGCGGCACTTTCGAGGACGAGGAGTTTACCGGCGTGTGGATCTGACCGCATTTGTCGCCGTGGATCGGAGGCGACGGTTGCCGGAGTTTTATATAAGTGGACTAATTACGGTAAGGGATGGAGATCCCGGTGGTTTCTCCTCCGTAATGGCGTGCTTTCTTACGCTAAGATCCGGTCGCCGGAGAATCTCAATCTGTTCTCTCCAATCGACGATGTTCGCTTAATTGGAGATGTCACCGCTAATCGTCTCGCGAGAATGGATAGAGACGCCGGAAACGCCGTTCGCCGGAAGAATCATAAACCTTCTTCGTCTTCGTCTTCTCCTCCTACAGTGGTTCATTTGAAGGTATAATCACTATTCACTAACAACGTAAACAGTAAACATTTCTTTAATTATCATTATTTATTAATATTATTATCATTATTCTTAATTTTGTTTATCGATTCGGTAAATAATTATTGCTTAATTTTGGTTTATGATAATTGAAACTAATAAAAGTTTCATGATATTTGTTATTTGTTATTGTGATTTTGTGATTATGTGATCTGAATCACCCGTTAGTGTGGGTCAGGACATGACTCGGTCTTGCTTTAGCAGTGTCATGTTCAACATTTTGGCGCTACCTCATTGCTTCTTTCTTGTAGAGGAAAAACAAATTTCAAATAAAAAAAAAAAAAGAATATAAACAATTATTTTTCTCTATGGTGGAAAAGATTTCATTGATTTCAGGCCATGAAATTAATAGAACCATGATTCAGATTTCAGATGGAGATTGTTCCTCTGGCAGTGAAAAATTATTAGTGAAAAAAAAATGGTAAGAAAGGGTCTTTGATGTCCGAGCAACAATGTTAAAATCCAATGGTTTATAAGGTTTTATATGGGGATTTAGATTTCAAAATTGTAAGGTTAGTTCAAGTGTTGCAGTTTTAACTGGTTGTTAATGCTGAGTGGGTCACATCAACAGGTGGCTGTGAAGGGTAGGGATAGCCTACAAAATTTTGATTTAAGAGAGTGAATAGCCCTATCCTTATGGCATTTACTTGCGGTCACGTCAACTCTCTCTTCCTTTCCTTCATCGAATTTGCTTCTGAAATTGGCTTTTCTTTCTTTCTTTCTTTCTTCTTTCTCCCTCTTACTTTTTCATTACCACACCATTTTTTCTGCAAATCCTACCTTATCTCTTGCCATTTTAAGCCTAAAAAAGTCCAACCTTAATTTTGTGTGTGTATTTTTTCCCAGGCGTTGTAAAATGTTAATATTTTTAATTAAAAAAAAATTAAGATTAGAGATTATATAGAAAAGTGAAAGCATGGGAGTATATTGTAAAGGCCCCTCTTCTATTTTGTCTTTGTCAACAGAAATATATATGTATATATGTGGGACTTTCCACCTTGGTGGTGGGGTATATAATCCAGGTCAATATTTTCTTTTCATTTTAAAAAATATTTATAATTTAAATGGGTGCTCTTATAACCCTTTAAGGTCAAAATTCTAAAGCCATTCTTATCCTCTAGGATAAAAGGGGAAAAGCATAAACAAGTTGAAGACATTAAGTTTTTTATTTATTGATTATGTTTTCACATCATTACATTCTAAACTCGAATCAAACTCGAATGATTCTAGTCAAGAAGTGGTAGCGTCATTTCATGATGTCCGGGTGTTAAGGTAATTTCATTTTCAAGCTCTCTTGTTTTTCTCAACAAAGGTGGCGGCTTTTTATATTCATTTCTACTCCTTCTCTTATTACTAGTAGTTTATAGTTTTGCTGCAGTGTTTCATTAGTTTACTATCTATAAAAAAACAAATTTTTTCTTGTTAATATATCATATTATGGTATATACCTTGCTTTTCTTTTTATTTTGTACTAAATAATTAAATAGGATAAAGATAAAGCATGATGCTTAATTCTTGGTTGAATATACTGTTTTACAGATCTCGTCGTTTAGAGAGAGCAAATCAGACGACAGAAAGTTTTACATCTTTACAGCAACAAAGACACTCCATCTGAGAACTGATTCGAGGAAAGACCGCGTGGCATGGATACAAGCTTTGGTGTCAACTCGCAGTTTGTACCCATTAAGCGGTCATCATCATCTATTTCTTGCACCTTATCATATATCTGTATCTACCGAAAGGCTTAAGAAACGCTTGGTTGAAGAGGGTAGCGGTGAGAATCTTGTCAAGGAGTGTGAGCAAATTATGCTTGCAGAGTTTTCAGAATTACAAGAGCAGCTTAAAATTCTTTGTCAAGAACGATCAAGTTTGTTTGATACGATTAGGCAGTTGGAGGTAATTTTTGTTTTCATTTGTTTTGTACGCTTTCTTTACCTTTTGAATGCTTCTGACAACTTCTTTGTTTGCATTGCATAAAATCTTAAAATACTTCTTAGTTTACCCATGTAATAATTTTCTCATTTCAAATTTTCTAGAATGAAACATGTGGATTCTATGAATGATGAACTGTAAAATGGATCCAAAACGAATTGTTTTATATATTCCTTTTCCTTTGGGCGTATCAATAATTCAGTACTGAACCAATTTGATAGAATCATTCACTGAATTATTACAAGAATAATATCCCAACATTTCTTGTCAGACATAGGCTATATGTCATTATTTTGGAAGTCATGAGATTTTTTATTCCTAATGCTTGAGCTTTCATTGTTTTAAAAGTGTTCTATCATTTTTCCAACTTTTTTAGCTCCCCAAAATGTATTTTTACTGATCACGGTTCTATCATATTTTTATTTTCTATGCTATGTAATTAGGTTTCTAGTCATGGTTCTATATATCAATGAAATGCCAAAACTTGTATAAAAACATTTTTTTTGGGGATAAGTTTCAACTTTTCAATTGATGTATTTGCTTTAACATTGCTATTGGGATTTATGTTTATGGACTGTTGGTTACTATTTTTAATTTAATTACTGTATTACCGTGTGTGTGTTTAGGTGAACAGTTCTAAAACTTGGTCAGAATAACTAGCGTAACCGTACGTGAAATGAAAAAATATATATATATTTAGATGTTTTTACTAAGATATTTTTAAAATAAACTTGATGCAAAACTTAGTGTTACTTCGTTGTTTGATAGATCATGAGGTTCTATTGTTGTTTGATAGAACATGAAGTGGGTCAAATATCACATGATGTGTTTGGTTCATTTGGTCATGCCTTTTGGCTGATATGTTGTTTTTTTCTAGATGTCTTGTCATCAATTTGCAATTTTGATAGTAGTCTTATTTGTTTTCAGCCCCTCTTTAGTCTACCACTCAAAGAATGTTGTAATTCATGATACTAAAAAATAAATAAAAAACCACTTTGTAGCATGACCTGACATATTTATTCTTCTTGCTTTACATTTGAATTCTTCTATCTAATCCAGTTTGATGCTTTCTTCATGTTTGCATGTGTTTAATTTTCTAGGTGTAGAAGCTCTTGTTCCTTATGTGTGACTTACTAAACAAATCTTTTGTTATTGATCATGAACAGGCAGCTAACATTGAACCTGAGGGATCTGCCTTGCATGACAGTGAATACCAACTAACAAAGAATGGATTTTCAAATCTAGGGCGTGGAAAATATAGTGGTACCGTCTTATATGTTACTTATGCTTGCCATTTCTTATTATTTTAATGAATTATCTACTATATGTTGTGATGTTTATTTTCTCTTTTGATGTGATAAGCATAATATCATATACTTCTATTTGGAATCTTTGTTGTCTTGATAGTGATCATAGGGGCCTATTGTTCTGTCTTATATCAACATGAAGAATATTGCAAACATCATATTGTTCCCAAACTCGTTTTGAATTTTTGAAAGTTTCTATTATTTGTTAGACTGCATAGTTTAAGAGTTTAATTTTTATGTACTGTAAGTGTAAAAGTTTGACACGGTCAGTGTGATACAACCACTCACATGTCTTACTGTGAATGCATATGAAGAGACTTTCTAAAACAGACTTTCAAATATGGGTCTAAAGATATACCTTTATGAGTTTTAGTAAAATAGATAATTTTTTACTAAAAAATCTGAGAAAGAGATAAGATATTTTATTAAAACTTATTAAAAATGCTAAGAATTTACCTTTCGACTCTTTTTTAGTGATCCATATTAAACGCGTCTATAATTTGAAATCCACCTTTTACTGTGATTCAAAGCATATTACTCGAGCTGTTATTGTCTCTAATCTCTGAGAAGTTTGTTTTCTTATTATTGTATTAATTATAGTAGAAATATCAGGAAAGACTCAAATGTTAATGGTTTGGCTAGAGATATAATTTACAATAGAATATAATGGCGTGTTTGATACATGTAACCAATCCCATTTAGTGAGAGGAAGGTGTTGTTTGGGGGTTGAACTCTCTTGACGATGTGTTGGTCTTGTTATCCGCTTTGGTCATGCCCTCCTTTGTTACGTTTTTTTGATTGTTGGTTTGTTGGTGTGTATGGTTTGGTAGGAATAAGGTTATTTTTTATAATAGTATTTGGAATGGGGTTGGTACCTTGCTTTTTATTAAGAAGCTAGGATGAGATTGATTTTCTATTTTGTCCAAAGCCAATAGTGGTGTAGTTCAAGACGTGTAGTTCGCCAATCCGGTGGTTTATGTAGGATTGTAGTCTCCTTCTTTTTTTGGGCTTCTTTTGGTAGCCTTTTTCTTTTCCTTTTGTATTGGGCTGCACCCCTTGTGCTTATAATACAAGTGATTATCGGAAAAAAAATCCCATTTAGTGAGATAATGCTTTGTTGTTGTTAATAGAAACATAAGCAGATACCTTAAATTCATGTATTTCAGAAGTCCAATTGATGGGCTACGCATGCTGGTTTCTTCTTTGAAATTATAGTTTGCTTGTATGCAAATAAGTGTATCTTTTAGTAAATTTATTTACAGTCTGCAATCTTTTATTATATAATCCCATTCTTTCAATATTTAGTACTTGTTTTTCACATATGCTTTTGGCTTTCAGAATGCAGTACAACGGAATCATCTGATGATATCGAGAAACAAGAGGTAGAAGAAGTGTCTGAAGAAGATGAAATATCATATTATGATAGTAGAGACTATTTTACTGAACCTGATTTTAGGTGTGGGTCAAATACGCTGGATCAAGTGAACATGTCCGGGGAAGCTAATAGACAATGCCTTGATGTGGAAAACAGTCTTGTTGAAACAATGACATATGATTATGGGTATCCTCAGATTGCAAGGCGAAAAAAGCTTCCGGATCCTGTTGAGAAGGAGAAGGGCGTTAGTCTTTGGTCAATGATCAAAGACAATGTGGGCAAAGATCTCACCCGTGTTTGCCTTCCTGTATACTTTAATGAGCCAATCTCATCCCTTCAGAAATGTTTTGAGGATTTGGAGTATTCTTATCTTCTGGATAGAGCTTATGAGCACGGAAAATCGGTAATATATACAATATTGCTGTATTCTTTCATTAATTTATCTTGCAATGCAAGCAAAACAAGTTTTGGTACTTAATAGTGCATAATTTAATGTATATATTCTCCATTAACTAACAAAGAATTTTAGTCATTTGATTGGCAATATTGGTAAACTTATACCTGATTATCTTGGAGAGTTTAGTTTATGATGTTTCATGTCTGAGTTTAATACATCAAACGCAACTACTATATTTGTACTTCAAAAGGCAACTACTAACTATATTTTTACTAAAGTTTTATCGGAAGAATGATAATTGTAGTCAACCATGTCGTTTGTTTTCTGCTTGTATTTGCTTGTGACTTCTCTTTGTTCAATTAATATGAATGCATAGAGTTTTGTTTGTGGGAGTTTGTGCTAACAATTTGACATCATTTAGTAACTTTTTAAGTTTTCCTTAATTTGGATAAAAGATGGCATCATTTAATGATATTGAGTGTGACACTTCATCCCTTTGAATTGTATTTTCAGGGAAACAGCCTCCTTCGGGCACTGAATGTTGCCGCCTTCGCTGTTTCTGGATATGCATCGTCTGAAGGTCGACTTTGTAAGCCTTTTAATCCCTTGTTAGGGGAAACTTACGAAGCTGATTTTCCTGACAAAGGAGTTCGCTTCTTTTCTGAGAAGGTTAGTACCTTATGATTTTAATGAAGAGATTTGGCTGAGATATGCTAGTAGTGTTCTTAATTTGGGATAAAAGTGGTTTCATATTAGTGGATTATTTTCTAGTTTTGGTTTGGATATCTAATATCCATAACGAAATCTGGAGGGTGAGCATTATCACAATGGTAAGACCACATATATCTACTCCTCCAGAACTCATTTGGTGGGAGTAAGAGGTGAGAATAAGTAGACTGGCGACCGCTACACAGAAACATATGGCCCAGTGTGGCTCGGTCTATTTAGCATAAGCCCAAGTTTAAGCTTTTCTAAAAGTCTTTTAAATGTAAAAGGTCAAACTTGTGCTGGTAAAAAAGATGTATTAGTGAAGTTTTCAACAAACTTGCTTTCAAAAGACTTTCTAACAAGCTTTAGAAAAGTTTTTATTTTATTTTTAATATAAACTTGTTAATTTGTGTAAAACAGGTTAGTCACCATCCAACTGTGGTTGCCTGCCATTGTGAAGGTAGAGGATGGAGGTTTTGGGCAGACAGTAACATTCATTCGAAGTTTTGGGGAAGGTCAATTCAGCTTGACCCTGTTGGAGTTCTGACCCTTGAATTTGATGATGGTGAAATATTTCAGTGGAGCAAGGTATAAATCGTCAAATGACTTTTTTTTTTTTTGGGTGGGGACTATTATACCTAGGGCTGTTCATGGTATGGTTTTATGAGAAAACCAAACCGAACCGAACCAAACCATAATTAATTATTCGAAATGAACCGAACCATTTCAATTTATTCAGAACCAAAGGGAACAAAAATTATTGGTTTGGTATACATTTATACCTTAAACTATTTCTACAATAATTGCTGTTGTTTCTCTTATAGGTTACTACTACAATTTATAATCTTATCCTTGGCAAATTATATTGTGGTCATCATGGGAATATGGAAATCCGTGGTAATCGCCAATATTCATGCAGGCTCAAGTTCAAAGAGCAGACCATTCTTGACCGAAATCCTCGCCAGGTAAGAGGTTCTACCAGTACTTTTTGACAACATTACAGTCTGATCTTTGGTTTCTAAACCATTTATTTATTACTAACCCAGTTTGCCACTTAGTTAATTTTTTTGTTTAATTTGTTAAAAGTTACACTTTTACTTTTCTTTTCTGAGATACAGTATATAAATATGTATTATTCTATATTCTTTGTAATTTATTTCAAGTGAGTCATTTAATGGTAGTGAACACTTTCACCCTCTATTGTTCTATTGAATACCGTACTGGAAAATGGACATTCATTTATTTGACCTAACATCCTTTTCTATATTTAATTAATTTTTAAAGTAAATTTTAATTTCTGAGTAATTTTACTGGTATCAAACTATTCATATCAATATTTAAGATTTCTCTTATATTTTTTTTTCTCTCTTTCAACAATTTCAAATTTGATTGATAACTAATTTTGAACACTTAATTTTTTATTTGAAGATTTGGAAGTTAAATTGAAATTTCAACTACCCATGCTATTGATTTGAAGCAGAATCTTTATTTTACCTTTTATAGTTTGATTGTTGTATATTTGATGTAATAGAGAAAATTATCTGTTAATGAAACTAAGAGCTGGAAAAAAGAAGAAAAGAGCATAAGAGGTTTGACTGTATTGAAATAAAAATGCAATGTGTATTTATTTCTCGAGAATGATTTTAAACGTCTTTCAGAATAAACATGTGTAATTTTCTAGTATTTACTTTGTTTTGGATATTCTGCTGGCAATGGCATGTGGCTACATTCCAAATTTCTGAAGGAAACTTATCTTTTATGCCCTTTCTTCTAATTAGGTAAATGGATTTGTTGAAGATACAATGGGTAAAAAAGCAGCCACAATATTTGGCAAGTGGGATGACAGCATTTACTATTTTGATGGTGATGTGAATGTCAAGCCTAAAGATTATACTTCATCCAGGGGAGCATTGTTGTGGAAAAGGACTAAGCCACCACAAAATCTCACTCGTTACAATTTGACATCATTTGCCATAACACTGAATGAGCTTACACCAGGACTAAAGGTATAATGAGGTATTGAATAATTATTTGATGTGGGTCTTCATTTTCCTTGTGCATCTGTTATCCTTCGTTGTAGCCTTTTCTAATGTATTTGGTCACTGATTAAAGGAGAAGCTTCCGCCCACGGATTCCAGGCTGAGACCTGATCAGCGGCACTTAGAGAATGGGGAATATGAGAAGGCTAATATGGAAAAACAAAGGTTGGAAAAGAGGCAGAGAATGGTATGTCACTTTTATGATTTTTTTTTCTTGTTTGTTACTTTTTACGCTCTTTGTACCCGTCTCAACATGGTTTCATTGAATGTCGCAAGCTTTTTCTTTGTAAAATTTTTTGAACCTTCATTTGGATGGATTTGCTTTTTATACAGTCAAGGAAAATGCAAGAGAATGGTTGGGAGCCAAGGTGGTTTCGCAAAGAAGGTGAAAATGGAACATTTCTATATACCGGCGGGTATTGGGAAGCAAGAGATGTAGGAACATGGGATGGATGCCCAAACATATTTGGTGAATTTCAAGAAAGCATCGTTGAAACCTTATGATGCACCTTGATTTTTGTTCAGGTAAAGTGATGTAGTACATACATGATGGATACTACACTAACCTTAAAAATATTGATACTTTTCCCTATGCAACCGAATATACTAGTACTACACACGTGAAGGCACCTCCTTAACTTATTTAAATGTCTTTGAAATTATGGCATGCAAGACAAAATCTCAATGTGATGCCACTTTCCACTGTGAGTGCATGTTTGGTATCACATTGAGTTTGTTGAAACCATAATATAGCATATATTGAAGCGTTTAATGTTAGTATATACTAGACAATGACATATACTAATACTATTGCAGATGGATCCTCTGAATGCAAATTAATTAGTCTTCGAGGGTTTATCTTAAGCCTTCTTGCATGGCCAATACTCTTTTTTATTGAATGGAAGAGATAGCAGCCATTTGGGATATTTAAAAATGAGGCTCTATGCAGCTCTGGTTGAAAAGATTTTGTTAAAAGACCTTGTTTAGTGACAAACAATAAAGGGAGTAGAAAAAGTAAATCAAGCAAATTCTATCTCAATGTTGCTTTTGTGGAATTAAATGGGTTCAACTGTCTATGGCTGCTGAAGTTGTTGTAATTTTCTTAACCTAATGGAGTAAACTTTGCACGTACACAGCTCTTTGCTGTGGCGGTGTTCAATGAGAATCCCGAACCCAGGCTGTTATTACTTCCCCAGAAGAGCATTTAAATATGAGCAAAAAAAATTAAGCTTAGCAAAAAAAAAGTTGTTAGGTTAGGATGCTGTCTGTGCTCAATTGTCATAATCATATTCTTTCTTGTTTTTTAAATTTTGTTAGTATGTAATTATTTGGGGGTATTAGTTTATGTAAGATTCTCTACCCTTTAATTCTGATATAACTACTACTGACATGGCCGAAAGGTTATATATATCGATTTATTTCATATTTTGCATTTTCTAATCAATAAATGATGAGATTTTTAGTCTCATTTGATTATAAGTTTACCGCTTGTATTCAGAAAAAGAAAAGAATACTTGACTTTGTGAATAAGCCATCATAGGTGGTTGTAAAAGAATATGTACTATGGTGATATTGTGTTGCCTAAAGAAGTACATAAATTTCTTGTAGAGGTTGTAAGAGAATAAGCTAGCTAGTTAAAGAGGTTGTAGAAGTACATATATACTAAGGTGATACTGCGGTGCTATTGTGTAGCCAAAGAGTAAGCTAGTCAAAGAGGTTGTAAGAGAAAAGTACATATATTTTGAAGGGATGCAGTGAAAATATTGCTAAGGGAATTGAACGTAGATTGTTTGTAGGTGAATCTGTAATTGAGTTGTTTTTCTAATTAATTTTTATTAAAAATCTGAAAATAGAGTTTTAAATCTGGAAAAGTTTTCTATTGGGAAATACTCATCATATTTCTCAACCCAGAAAAAAATGGTCCATATCTTCAAATTCAACATTGAAGTCAACATCAACACCGCAATCTTATGCAACACAAGTACTCTGAATTTAAGTTCTTCACGCTATCTTTCTCCTTGCTTACATAGAAAGTATCATTTTTCCTTACTTCAAAATCTCATTTTTCTTTGCATCAAAATCTCATTTTCCTCACAATTATGCTAAACTCAAGTGGGTTTGAAAAACAATAAATTTATAATTTTGGTTTTAATGATAACAAAGTATATAAAAGTAACAAGTGTTTCTGATGTAACACTACGAGAAAAAATCTGTTTAGTCAGGGGTTAAATCTCTCACAAAATAGAAATTTGTGAGGGGATATAGATCTCCTAGCTAAACAAATCGTTGCAAATGATTTGCGAGGAGTCTACCACTCTTAAAATTTAGCTTGAGGCTTATCTCTCTGCAAAATACAATCCTAGTTTTTCTCCGACGTTAATCGCACCTGGATCAGAATGATCTTCAGCGGTCGACAACACTTGGACTTCTATGGTTGTTGAAGTGAGTGGAGGGGGTGGAGTACCAAAGTAAGATTCAGAGCGAGATTGCAAGTATAGAGTGAGTAGAATAATGTGTACCCTGCCCTCTAGTGAAAGAGAGTATTTATAGCCCTCAATAATGGACCAAGGTCCCCAATTGAATAGGATACTCGGGTCCATAATGGAGACTGCCAGGATCTTACGTGGGTAGTGGAGACCGATTCATGGTCTATATTCTAGTTTAACTTCCCCGTGATTCTCGGAGGGTGGAAGATCCGATCTTTCCAGGAGTAGGATGACTTTGTGATATTCGGAGGATCGTTGGCCACGTATCCTTGGCAGGTACGTGGAGGAGACGTCCCTGACGGGCACGTGTGGGAGATGTTTCCCAACGGTCATAACATTCGAGACCACGGAAGTGGACCTTCCTTGTAGTAGTGCTGGGTTGGACATGCCCGACGGGGGACCAAGTGCATGTCTAGTCCACAATAGGTCGTTGGGCCTTTCTTACTGTAGAATTGGGGCTGAGCCTTGCCTGACGACAGACTAAGTGCAGGCCCAATCTAGAACAGGAGCCTCCAAGTCGTTGCTCCAAAATAGATGAGTTATGACTTAGGCCAGTTTGTGTCTTTAACGCTCAAATCGAGCATGGACAACGGGGATGCGAGCATCCAATTTTCAGTTCAACATATGCAAGGAAAGGGACGTGACCATCCAAACTAATAACCTTATTCGTTGATCAGCATCGCTTGAGGAATGTCGCGCGGACAAGGAGGATGATGTATGAGTATCGTGGTCGAGGATCAAGGTGTGCCCGCAGAGAGCGTTCACATGCTCCTCGTAGCAGCGTTGCAGGGGTATGCCCGTAAAGGAGAATGTTTTCCTTGCTCGCCTTCCGAGGAGTTGAAAGGTTTGGACGACGCTAGCTTCTTAGCCACATGTCACAAAATTTAATGCGAAATGATGGCCTATGTGTATGGGTCATCATGGCCTAGGCATATGTGCGACTGCGTGTTAGGGCGCTGACACGCCACTTGAAGTGACGTTTCATCTCCCATTGTAAGGCTTATAAATAAGTTTTTGGGTTTCATTTGCAAAGTTTTACATTCGCTCCCCGCTCTCGCTTGCTGCCCCTTTTCACCTTTCTTTTTCTGATCCGCACTCAGCCGCAACTGCCACTGTGTCCGCCATTGCAACCTCCTTTCAACCCTTAATAAAGTAAGTGTCTTTCCTCTCTCCTTGCGATTAATCCTATTTTTAATCCTCGCAATACACATGTTTTAGATGAATTTCGTGTTACAGGGAGGTTCTTCCCCGTGAAATTCATATAATATTTTCATGTTCTGGGAAGGTTCTCCCCTGAGAAACTCATATAATACTGAAGATCTTCATGAGTTTCCCCGCGAGATTCATGAGCTCGTCGGGAAATTCACGAGTTTCCCTGTGAGACTCATGAAGACCTTTATTAGACGGCGAGGGCCTGCTCATGCGCAGAGTCGTGTCCTCGTCTATCTAGTTGATTTGGTCGTGCCTTTGGCCCGAAAGGGTTAGTCTTGATCACCTTTGACCTGTCGAGTAAGGGTTTAGTCGGAGACTATGTCCTCGTCCTGCAATACTCCCTTCCACTTGATTTACGATGGAAGGATAGATTTAATTTGACTGTCGAATTTACTATTTTCCTCTGCTTTTCAGGTGAGATGGCCGATGCTGCCGAAAATGTTCAGATGGCCGACTCGGTTAGTGACCCCCAACTGGCTTGTGTCGCCCCTGAGCCTCGAAGCATAGCTTCGCGCTATGTTGAGTCTTTAGCTGGCGCGTTCCTGCATGTCGAGGACGGGGTAGACGATCCAGACATTGAAAAGCACTGGAGATTGTCAAACCAGTTGGGAGCAAAAGGACATGCTCGTTTTAATCGAGGAACCACATCCCCATGTATGAATTTGTCTTCAAGGAGCCAGGGCTTCGACTGCCCTTCAGTGATTTCTAGGCCGAGGTTTTCGGGAACCTGTCGTTGGTGCCCTCTCAGCTGCATCCAAATGTAATCGCCTTTATGTTTGCGTTCGAGAAAGTGTGTCGATACCTCTAGATCGGCGCCATGATTCCTCTCTTCTTCCGTTGTTTCCGCCTTCAGCGACAAAATGTGGAGGGGAAACATGACTGGGTTTCTTTGAAACAGTAAAAAAAAAGCTCTTCAAGATGTTTGTGGAATTCGTCAGTGATTTCAAGGATAGATATTTCCTCGTCAGTCTGGTGTCTTCAGAGGCTTTCGACTCGGTGTTGGAGGAGGTGACCCTGGTCGACGAGGGTGGCCTCGTGCTCTATGATGAAAATGGGAATGTACAGACAAAGTTAGTTTCAAAGTTCCCCTTCCACTAGAGTGTGACTCACTTAGACCATGGCCCGAGCTAATACCTCACCCTGGAGGGTTGTATGGACGAGGATGACGAGGAGTCCTATGCCAATCTTTGCAAGTTTGTTGACAACTTCTACCCTGCCCAGTGGTTGACGAGGGAGGGGAAGGATTTCCTCGATGAAAATGGTGAGCCCTTATTTGAGGCTCGAGAAATTAATACTAAGGCACTCCTCGAGTTTCTTACGAGGACTGCATAGCGCTATTAGGTATCCGCTCGCGTTTTTTCCCTTTTAGCGTCCTCACATGTATTTTCTTAATGTACTGACCCAAGCTTGTTGTTTTCTCCAGATAACATAGCGGACTCTCGTGAGCGTTTGCTCAAGCTGGCGCACGACCAAAAGAGGAGCAAAAAGATGGTGAGACCTAATCGCTTTGCACCCACTCCAGACCAGGCTAAGGATGGCTCTAACGCCTCTTCTTTGTATATGAACGTCGACCAATCTCAACCTGCACAGGGGCTCACCGGCCTAAAGAGGGATTATCCTGAGGGTGATATTCTAGACCTGATAGAGAGTGATTCTGATTCTAGGGTTTTCACATTGCCCTCTTTCTTTTCTCAGAAGGGCTTCTTCGAAGGGTATCCCTTGATCATGATCGACGGAGAAACCTCAGTCATCCAGAGGGCAAGAGGAAGCGCCTG